CAAGAGAGTCATTACGTCAGTGCTTTAAAGACTCAAATATCCTCACAGTTACTTCACAATACATTTATGAAAATATTATGTATACACGGAAGAACTTAGCGAGTTTTAAAAAACTCAAAGACTGTACAAGTAGAAACTTACGCAATATAAATAAGCTTATTTTACCTAAATGCCGTCTGCACAAAATCAGTAATTCATTCTATGGTAATTGCATAAGATTTTATAATAAACTGCCGGAATCTGCATTAAATCTGACAGAGAGGCAATTCAAATCTTATATTAAACAATTTTTATGTAAGAAAGCCTATTACAGGATAGACGAATTCATAGATGACAACATATCAAGTAAATAATTAGTTTATTAGCATACAACGTTATAATTTTATTTTCTCATTGCTTTCTTGATTTAATTGATTAATTTTAGAAATATGAAAGCGTAGCGGTTTTTTGTATTAATTGCCGCATGCATTCTTATGTAAAATGTGAATACTATAACTATCAGATGGCAATTGTGAGTAGCTTTGACGTGGTCTAGTGTTTTGAGTAGTCATGCTCACTAAAATGTCCAGACTTGTGGCGGCGTGGTGGGTCGGGTCATTGGGCTCCCTAAAATATGGTCGAGCGCAGTGATGGCTGGCTCATCCGTCATACTCGTGAACGGGTGCTGCTTGTAGGGACTGGTCTGCTCTAATCACTATGACTGATTTCCTCTTATTAATTGTTTAACCAGTTGGTTATGTATTCAATTTTTTTTTTCTTTTTGAGTATTTAATTGAATTAGTGCTAATTGGTGGTTTGTATTCACACAATTAAACTTAAAAATGTAAAATAATAATAAAATTATTTAAAAGAGCATCACGCAAGTTTCTTGCTCGTTCTTCTTGTGATGAGACAGCTTTCCGAACGAGCGGTAAATTAAAAAAAATGTAATGACTTTTCAAAAGTGCTTCAATGTAAGTTTATTTGAATAAATGATTTCTATTCTATTCTATTCTATTCTATTCTATTCTATTCAAGTTTTAATAAATTCGACACAAAAGGCCAACTGATTGACTACATTCTCATCATCCCATCCTTCTTTAGAACCCCGGTATTGGTATATAATAATAAATAAATAATAACGGTATATGGTATTACTTATTTATTATTATAATTGTAAAGGCAGGTAGAATAAAATTCATTCATTCAAAAAAACAATCGAATACTTACATAGATTTTCGTTTGGTCTCCATTTTTTTTACGTCCTCTTACAACAACTTTCAAATTATTTCGGGGCGCATCATCCTGCACCGTGACAATAAGTCACATCACATCAAGTAATATAATCACGTAGCTAGACATCACGGCGTGACACGACCATAATGGACCTACCCTATTATACATCATTAGAATCAGTCAATAATCGAGCCATATTTTGCTAAGTAGACCTTTCTTCGGTTATAATTCTCTTTGCCGTCTCACTCCCACTGTAGCAATCAAACACGTGTGCGACAGTAACCCGAATATATCTGTCATAAATCCGTAGTAACTGTCATCGGGTTTCAACCAATAAACCCGTGGGGATGGCATGGCTATTATATGAAAATGACAATACACAAATTGACGCGGCCGAAAGACTATAAACTCTAGAAGTTAATACGCTCCGCCGCAGAGTAACACTGCTGCAATTTAAAGTCAATCTTAATACGTTCCCCGTAAGGGTAAAAATTGATAGATGACTCTGGTTTCTCCCTGCAAGGCAAATTGGATCGTAATTACACTCGCTAAGGTGGGTTATTACGTGGACAGTATGGTGATATTGTTAACAAATCGGACCGATGCAAAAAATATCTTAAAAGGGAGTGAACAAAAGCCCATGAAAGTTAGAGATTAATCGGGGATTTAGACACAATATAGACGTAGGGCACACATGTCGGAGCAGACGCGGTGCCGTCCGTACTTGGTTTATTTGTCAATGACGTAGTGACATGGGGGTAGCATCCCTAATAATTACAACGCGAATCATTGTGTGCATTACAATTGGGTTATGATCTATGTGCAGCTTTTAGTGTCAAATAAGAGCGATTTAATTTATAAATAGATACTTAGCTTTTTTTATCAATACTATTACTAGGACTTGCATACAGCGGCTTGCCTACGGAAATTAGTAACCGTAGGTGACTCTTATCAGTTTGCACGGGGTCTCTTTTCATTGATATTATAAAATTAAGATTAGGTATGTTCTACAACAAAAATCGACTTTAAGGTTGCCTGGAAGAGATCACTATTTAGCGATGAGGCCACCAATTGTTGCATCTTTTTAATAATAATAATAATAAAGTTTATTCTCTTCACAATACCAGTTGTAAATCTATTATATTCTAATATATTTATTTTTGGAGGTTACATAAGTTAATGTATTATGAAGAACTGGTGTCTGAAGTAGGATAAACCTGTGTTACAGATTATCAGTAATCTGTAACACAGGTTTATCTTGTTTCTATGTAATTAAGTTTATACAATTAATTATTCATTTTGCTTGTGTATATATTATTATTCTTCAAAACCTGTGTAATTTTTTGAAGGGAACAATAAATAGTTTTCATTCATTCGTTCAATCAGTTGTGGTATAAATAGTTAATTTGATTTAAATCCTAAAACACTGAATCGATCTTGATAAAATTTCTATAAGACTAATCTGTAAGTATATCCTTTTACATAAAAAAAGAATTTTCTAAATAAAACTTACGGATTTAGAAGGTAATGAATACTTCATTTTCCTCGAACATTTTCTTCTGTTGTATGTGCGCTATTAAGTATATATATATATATATATATATATATATATATATATATATATATATATATATATATATATATATATATATATATATTTGTTTGTGTATATAAAAAAAGGTTGTCTGGAAGAGATTGCTTAGCGATAAGGCCGCCTTTTGTTTCACTTCTCATTAATATTTACTGTATTTGTTATTTTTCTTTTTACTTGGTGCAATAAAGTGTAAAATAAATAAATAAATACAATCGAATTGAGCACTACCTTCTTTCTGAAGTGGATTAAATAATAACTATAACCTACGTTGCTGTAACATAACTAATTTATTGGTGAAACAAATCGATTATGTAGTTTTGGAGTTTATCTTTTACAAACAAACAAACATGCATACCAAAAACGAGCCAAGCGCGAATCGGACTGGGGCACCGAGGGTTCTGTAAGCACAAATTAATTTATCTTCTCTATATTATCTATTTATATTAATTAAATTAATTTATTATATGATAAAAACCTATAATATAGAAAAGAACTAAGGACCCTCGACAATATATTAATACTCGTGGTAATATTTAAATTTTCTACTGTAACCTTTGACAAGCGATAATAATGAGTACTTATCTGTTATCCTGGTTGAAAGGATCAGTATTTAAATAAAATGGGTGTGTTTATTCAACAGCTAACACTTATATCATATACATACTGACTGATAAATTCGGTATGTAAGGAGGGAAAAGGATTGTTAGTAATGGAGACTGAGAATCCCATTGCTAGCAATATACCCAACCAGGTCGACCTCCTCGCGGTTCCCCCTGGAAACTATCATGGTTAATTCCTGATGAATTCATCATGATAGGCTAATTGGCCTGTTTTCATTCTCATCTGTCACCCTTCACTGGTGCTCCGCCAGCGTATCCCGTTAGCGCAGGCGGGGTTACCATACCATTTTCACCCATCAAAAAAAATTCGGTATGTAAGTAGGTACCAAGTAATTTTGATGACAAAAACTTTTCACCTTTATAATAATATAATTTTATTTACATAATATCATTTCTCTGTTTACACTATTTTAGATACATTTAATTTTATATAATACGATAAACTTTTTCATCACCGCTTTGAAATAGTGATACACTATTTATCTTTAGTTTTGTACAGAAATAAATTTAATGATAATAATATATTTTCAAAAAATATATTAGAAACTAGCTAACTCCACAGACGTTTTACCATCCAAAAAATTTACTTTTGTTTTTATACGAACCTTAAATATGAACCTATTATTGTTATGAACATTAAACAAATATATCAAATCGGACCAATTTTTACTGTCGCACAGATGTTATAAAAGACATAAATACAAAACATAAATACAGGAATGTTCGAAATCACATACACATATTACGAGATCTATTTTATATCATACGATATCTTACGGTACAGTACGGATCTTATGGTATCTACATACGTAATATTCATGAGACTCGTGAAGTTCAGAAATAAACTGCTAAGTTACTAGAATGGGTACTTCATATAAAAGATATATATATGCTTCATACACAATTACATAAAATTCTTGACTAGATTATAATACAAATATTATTGCAAATAAGTAGAAACAAAAATATCTGTGTACATATTATAAAGATACATATAATTATATTATATTATTATTCATAATGCCGTCATTAATCACTCGGTTCGTAACATCCAAAAGGGTCCATAACTCTGAACTTCATAAACAGAACTCCAATATAGTTATATCAATATATCACTTCAATTTGGGGGGAGACTTTGTACAAAAGTCGATTGCTTGGGTACCTCCGTCCCATTCGTGTTTCAACCGTGAAGCAACTGTGTTTGCATGGCTGTGTTTCGGTTTGAAGGGTAGGATATAGCGTGAATTTACTGGGTACAGAGGAATAACACCTAAGTCCTCAGGAATGGCAACGCATGGTTGAAACAGTATACTCTGTTATGTCCATGGTACTGCTCATGTCTATAGGCGACGGTTACCACTTTCCATCAGGTGGACCGTCAGCTTGTTTGCCATTCTAAGTTGTATAAAAAAATATATATATAAAACTAATATGAAGTAAAGTAAAAAAAATCTAAAATTTTAACAAAGATATCTGTTTTAAATACTTCATAGCGATCCATCTATTTGTAATAATGATTTAAGTAGACATAAGTTTTAGTATTAGGAATAGTAAAAGAGAATGGTGCTTCAAACACAATTGTTGTTTTAATACAAACAATTATTTTATGCTTCTTAACTCTATCATTTCTATATCGGATCACCATTTTACAGGCACCAATATTATTTATTGATCACAGGAAGAGTCTGCTAACAACTTTCAGTTAAATGTACATAAAAGTTAGAAAAATATAATTAGGTAGTACATTTTATGCATCTGTCGCTAGCACCGCTAAAATTAGTTCTAAGGCTACTGTTTAACATATACATTAGACCTTTCTCATAGATCACCAAAAGGAACAATCTTGCGCCATCAACTTCTATTAACTGCTCGCTACACATTGAAAATCGCTACTCTAGTACTTTTAAGGATTTAAGGAATGCAGAATTTTGGTAGTTTTTCACTGTTACAAAATTTAATATCAAACGATATCTTTGCTTGTCCTGTACATGTCTCCGATGATCCTCTCAATAGGTATATCACCTATAGTGGCACGGAAGAACAACTCGACGATTGTGACGCTGGATACCCTTCTGATGATGGGCAACAGTTGGAGGAGTTGGCTGGGACGCGCCACTTTCAATGGGTACGCTCTTAAAATGTACTGAAAAAAATATATACTCTTTAATCAAAATTATAATAAAAGTAGTACACATAAACTTTGTCACAGATAATAAATATACTTTGTAAAGAAAATATTATTATTGTTCACTTTCAAGTTTTTTAGAACGATCACATTCACACTTAATCGTTTTAATTAAAAAGCATGTTTTAATTGGAAATATCAACTCAAAATAAAAAATTTAAATCTATTAGAATAAGAGCTTTCGATATTTTATTGTTTCTGCATATCCTAATGGTAGACAAATACCTGTCTGTATGTATAAAAGTCTTAATTTAACATTCTATAAATAGATACGGATGAAGTTCAAGGCACTTGCTAAGCTATACAACAAGATACCGCCAGCATCTTAGAACTTAGGAACACTCATATTTAATTTAATTTTATTTATGATAATTTAGGTTATTTCACTAAATATATTAAAAATTTAGCCCCATCATGATAAATAATTGGAAAACCGCCAAAGAATGATAAATAAAAATCTGTACTGAAATTTCTGCGACGTTTCCATAGAATACAATGAAATTTATTCGCGCCACATGTTTATGAACGGTGGTCTTTTATTGCTTGTTAACAAACACAACATAACGAGATATAAAATTCTTACCTCGCTTAGAACACTATGTGAATGATCCTGCAACGAAGCCACAGCTGGAAGGTCTTGCAGCCTCTTGTAATCTGAACTGGTTTGTATTGGACTATTACTGTCACTTTTCTCGCTAAAACTTGTTTTAAATAACACTATCGCCCTAAGACAAGCATATTCATAACTGTCTGGATGAAGTTTTGCTATTTCAGTAAGTGCTTTCTCGAAGTTTTCTACTTCTTTCGCATCTATTGTAGGATTCTTGGCATTTAGAAGGATCTTCAAATCCATAGGATACAAGAATTGAGCTGAGCCGATCACGAAGAGATCTCTCCAAGATTCCTCCAACAGAAGTAATCTGTCAGGCAAGGATAATGTTGTAAATGCAGGTACGTTCTTGGCCCATTTTACATTCATAAATAAGAGCTTTGCAGCAGCTTCGCACATTTCTTCAGGGTCTGTTGGAGTCATTATGTGAGCAGCAATTGGAGGTGGTGATGGAACTTTAACCGGGCATGGTATTATTGAAGGCGTGGGTAGGCTAATTCTATTATAGATATACGGATTGTGAAATAAGGTCATCGATGGTGGTGGTAATAGGTTATGTTTAGGCAAAGCTAAATCCAGCACAGGTGGGGGCTGTAAACCCACATCAGAGGATGGAAGGGCTGGATCTTTTAAGAATAACGCCATTTGCCGCCTAATCGTCGAGTTGCGTGGACCTCTTTCATGTTGTACTGCTGTAACAAAGAACAATACAAATGTATAATATAAAAAAGAATCCATAATAATTGTAGTTGTATATACATCTGTACTACTGTAAAAAGGAATCATTGGATTTTTTTCTATTTGTTTGAAACGAGTTAAAAATTACTTGTTAATTGTTTAACAACTTAATTGATTTTTTTTTTATTTCTTTCACCTATAAAAGGCTTCATTATCAACGAGTAACATATATACTTTAAAAAAACTTAGAAATTCCTATGAAAATTACAACAATTGAACTTAACCAAAAAATCAAAATATTTGCCTATTAAAACTAATATAAAATACTAATTTATCTTTCTATTTATTTACCCGTCCGAAGCCGGAGGGGATTGTTAGTATCTCATATAGACAAAATTATCCATTCTATTAATTTTACATGCGAGATTTGAAAAGATATAAATTCCTGTATGGCACATATATATACGTGAATACATAGAAATTATATTGTAAGTACTTAATTTTCTATCCTATATCTCAATAACTCATATAGTAATGAGTTCAGATAGATATAATTTTTACTTTTAAAGCCACACTACTATTACAAACTCACAAAATGATCAGACATTTGTCAATTGGGGTTATAATAATAAATTACCCTTTCGCGTATTCCTATAACAGTGGGTTTTACAGATACTAGTTTACAAGAGTGAGTCTTCAAAATTAAGATACTTCAAAGGTAAGATTGTTCCCATAAGCCACGGAAACTTACTTTTTATTTAAATATTGCTTACCATCTTTATTCATGCCAACTTCAATACATTTAGTTAGGCGGCACGCGCGACACTGGTTCCTATGCGCCTTGTCCACCAAGCAAGCACCAGGTATCCTAGCTTTACAGACATATGTTCTATCTCTTCTCACTGATCGCTTGAAGAACCCCGCGCAGCCATCGCACGCGTACACCCCATAGTGTTTACCAGATGAATTGTCACAGCAGACTGCGCATGGGACATCGTAGAGGATGCGGCCTTTAGAAAGATATCAGTAACCAATTATATACACAAATAATTAACACTATCAGAAATTTTACGGACAGGTTATATATCAGGTATTTTTTTCTATCTAAGTTTTTAATCTATGAAATTGATCCTTTATTAGAATAAACACTTGACTATTTAGAAGAGTATTATATTAGAAGTAGTTAAAATAACTAGAAAAAAATATATAATTCATTAGTGTTAGTTCAAAGCTGATAAAGTCTCTGAATCGCTATTTATTTATTATTATCATCATACAGCCTTTACTGTCTACTGCTGAACATAAATCTCTGCCTTGAGGGGTTTTGCCAGTACTTACTATCCTTAGCAGGCGGATTGGCAACCGCAGTTAGAATTTAGAGATGTTTTAAGAAGGACGCTGCTACCTATCCCTCGCTTTCCCTTAGTCGCCTTTTCAACATCCACGGAAAAGAAAGGGATAGCCTATTCTATGCTAAGACCACACGCCGACTAATAATTATTACTAATACGTAATTACAAATAATCTAGTTTACTAAGTTTAGTGTCGTAAGATTTTATAAAAAGTTAAACATTAGGTAAGTTATTTTATTTTATTCTATTTTTCATACATAGTCAAGTTACTAGAGACAATAGAAAGAAGATTGAAATCAATCAATATATAAAAGATGAAGAATCCATAAACTACCAATCTCGTTGCCGTACCTTTATATTACAAACCATAGGCGTCAACGGTCATAAATCAATGCTACAAAATGTCATTAAGTTACCTCAGTATAATACTGTGGGTTTTAAATACATGAGTAGGGGCTGGGTGCAACTGACTCCGCCCCTAGGGGAGGGAAATATGCCAGTTTATTGTCTAATTATTTCACTGCTAAAAGAACAACACAAAGGACCATCGATTTTTGTTTGTCGATTGACCATTGTTAGGGACGTCATGCAATTTGTTAAATTAAGCACCCCGTTATTCTTCAATTCTATTATGAATTTATTGCATTTTCTTGTTACTTTTACTTATTATTATACTATTTTTTTTAAAGACCCAAAAAATATATTTTATAATTCGGGATTTACGTAACAATTATAAAATAAATATTAAAAGTAGAGGAGTAATATGATTAGTTCAATACCGAAAAATCTCTCAAATCCTGCTTAGTATGTTATAAAAATGAAAGGTTTTTATAGATGGGTAGATATTTGGATATTTGTTACCCTATCGTGCTTAAACAGTTGAACGAATTTAAATAAAAAATAATACATAGGTATTAATATCCTAATTTAATACGGGCATACTATACTTTAAAAACTATTTCATACGGGCAAAGCCGCTGTAAATAGCTAGAAATTAATAGCTTTTTAAAAACAACAATAATTATAATTTTAACAATTTTAATTGTTTTAAAATATTATTATTAATATAAATTATAAACATGCATACTTGTCAGAAATTTGAGGCCATCCCTAACATTCCAACACCGTGCCGTTATACGAGTACTTATATTACAAAAAAAAAATCAATGCAATTTTTTGTACTGCCAACTTCGTGCTCGCATTGCTAAACGATCCCACGGCGACCGTTTATCGCGGCTTACAAGATAATACGCCTTTATTAATATACCTCCAAACATCAGTCGAAAAGGCACAAAGGCACATCCATTCAACGAGACATCCCATTTCAAATAAACCATGCACGTGAATACACTTGCAGGGCAGGAAACGCGGTGTCGAATATAAGACGAGAAAAAAAAATATTCACAAAACTGCTCGACATAGACAATGAGGAATAAAAGATAAGAAGTGGGGATTGAGAATATTATTTCGTAAAGTTCAATAAAACGGCCATAGATAATGACAGGTTCCGTACATGAACGTTTCGATATCTCTGCTCTGCATCTACAAAAAAGTTTTAACTTTAAACGTCATCGGAGTATTTATTTTGCGAGTGAATTGATTTCTGATGACCCTGACAAAGAAGAAGCAGCTGTTACTTTGTGACAATGTTGGAATGTCAACATACTCCGCCCATCCTATTTCACGTTATTTTATAACCGAACGTTACTGTTTGCGAAGTGATATGTGCTAAATAGTTTGTATTTATTTAACTCACAATTTACTATCCTTTTACAATACGCTTGTTATTTATTTAAATAATTTTGTATTTACATTCGCTTTTAATATAGATATCAAGTTATAATGAAAGTGACAAGAAGTGTGCAGGTGGACTTACACCTTAAAAGGATTTATTCCCGTCAAATTTGAGAACAATAATTATTGTTATTGAGAGTTGCTGTTTTTATTTAATTTTAGATTGTAGTATGTATACATCCATATACGCAAAAAAAAGTTGTTTTAATTTATTTCAAGTGTAACCAATATATCGATCAAATACTTTAATCAAATAATTACTTCAATACAAATGTATTAAAATAATTTAATTCAGACAGCATTTATAAATTAATATAAAAATATATTTTAAATATATTTCAAAGAGATTTCACGCCGGCTGGTGGAAACCTCTGGTGACCAGAAGGCTGGCCTATACTCTGGTCAACGCATTTCCATTGCTATTCAGCGTGGAAATGCAGCAAGTATCCTAGGCACCTTACCAGCTGGCAGTGATCTCAAAGAAATTTTTTATCTTATATATATATATATATATATATATATATATATATATATATATATATATATATATATATATATATATATATATATATATATATATATATATATATATATTTAATTTTTTAATTACTTATCTCTAATTATATATCTAGGTTATTTATACATCAATGTAATTAACATGTTTATATCACTCATATTATATACTAACCTAGGTATCTATTTGACCTCCAATAAAGTCTTTATTTGATCTAATTCAAAATATATTTTAATTTAAAATCAACTAATAACCGATCATTAAAAAACGTTAGCGCCCCATCGCTTCACATCACTCGTGGGCACGATGGTTATCATTAACCGTGCGACTAACCACCTGTGTCACTGTGACCCGCTCGTCGCTCGTCGCTCGCGTGACACCTACGTAACGAACGAGCATATTAATCGGCTAGGGCGATAGGGCGCATGGGATGCTCTTTAAACTGCCATTTATTTGACCCTGCAAGTGATATGGAATTTCCCACATCAATTCGCTGACGGTGTAACGAGAGAATTATTAATTTAGTCTCTTTTAGTTTGGTTAACTGCATACTTTTGAACATGACTTTTTAAAGTAGTATATCGCTTTAAACATGGTACTAGTAAAAGCAACAATTTCTATAATTGAATAAAATACATCAAAAAGATAGTAACTATATTACGTCATGATCAATTGACTTTTGTAATGTCCCTATGTAATGTATTTATTATTAAAAGGTTATTTATAATAATTATAGTCGAAAATGGATTCTTTTCTCTAATGTTGATCATTTAGGTTCCTATTAAAAAAATAATTATTAATATGATATTGTTCTTTTAATTTTTTTTTTTATAATTAATTGACTCAACTTTATCGCTCGAGTATTAATATCAGCTACTATAAATATAAAATATCAAAGAGGTATCTGATTTCCTCGTAACTGCTGTAGTACGTTCCACCGTGTCTGAAAGTACCATAATACCTACTTAAAAACTTTTTTAAAATAATATTTAAATTCTCTAGATGAAAACATAAATAGAAGACTGATATTACTATTAAGCTAATTCATGGGGAACAATCAACTGGGGGTGAGAGCGGAGGCAGATGCGCCGGCGCACTCGTGGGAATGATGCCATTGATGCCAAATTAGCCGGGGCACGTCATCTCGTCCACCTCTTGTTAATTAGTCACTGACAGTACGAAAATGCAATTTATTGTAACACTGTTTAATGTTATTAAGATTCCAGCTTCGATTCTCGATCAGTAGGTCTACTCTTGAATCTAATATCAATATCAATCCAATCTATTGCCAATGACAAATTTATACTGCACCCATGAAACAACAATTCAGAATTAGATTATAATTGGGATCGTTTTACAATAGTTTATTAACCAACCATTATGTTATGAACCATTATGTCGCTGGTGTTGCAATTCGAGAGTGTAATTCTTAATTTGAATATCGATTTATTGGAATTTATTTCAAGAGTAACCCCACTGACCGATAAGGACTTTTCTAAAACAGTTCTACTCTGAGTATTCTGAGTTTTTGTTCTTGTATGTGTTTGTTTAAAGATCAGGACATTTTTGTATGATTGTACGGCATCTACTTATTTATTGAGTGAAGAAAGTTTTAGATAGATAGATACTCTTTATTTTTTCCTCCAGAAGATTACAATAGTAAAGTTATTATAGATACAAAAAAATATATAAAAATTATCACAGTTGTTGTATGTATTTTTTATTTTCAATCTCATTTCCTTCTGAGTTAATTAAATCTGCTTAGTAAACGCGAAAAAATAATTATAATTTTCACTATATCTACTCTATATGAAAACTATTTTTGGGCTTATTTATTTGAAAGAATTATCAAAAGAGCGATCGATGGCATTTATCGTGGATTGATCATTATTCTATAATGTTTAAAATTTGTACACCTACACTTACCTATTAATAATTTGTTCTATACTCTGACATAATCCGACAAACGTTATCTTGAGTATATAAATACCGAATTGTTTTCTTTCCCTAAGAATATTAAAAGATGTAATACGAACATTTAAAAAAGTACTCAAATTGTACCAGCCATTTTTAAGTGATGCACTTAACAACGAAATTTTATTTATTTTTTTATATATTTAAATTTCTTATTATTGAGTACTTACTTGAGGAAGAAGGGTCCATGATGATCTATTGACTAATTTAACACTTCATAATCCCTGAAACAAAACATAAATTAAATTATAATAATAAGAAAGTATATCAATCTTTCCCATAACTTAATAATGTTCGCACAGTCGACACCGTGCGAATATTAAGAAGCACGCTGTCGCTCGCGGTTTTCAAGAGCACTCAAAAATCAAACATTGATCGAAAAGAAAAGAATCGACGAATAAATGTAACAAACGTAAGAAAATAATGCAGCATTGTTCCAAGTTGCCACTGCTGACATCTTTTTACAACAAAACTGAGTGCCACTCGTGTTTTGTTCATTATTCATATTGTTCTATTGGTAACTTGTTAAATTAAACGGCCACCGCCTCGAGGGCTATTAAGTGGTTATAACTTAGTTCTTTTAAACACTTTTAGTCCCCATTAACTTGATGGGATCGAAAAATTTTCGGAAAAGAGAAAAAAATATATTTGTAAAATTATATTTAAACGTATTTTACAAATATGTTTTATTGACTTTAATTATTATGTAAAACAAACAAAATATATATAAAATAAAGCATAGCCAGATATTGATTTTTTTTTATTAAACGAAGTATCAAACGGTTTATACAAAGTAGCAATATAACCGTTGGACCTATTGGATCTACATATAAAATGGTTAATAACTATAATATTTTTTTTACAAATAAATAAATAGTCAAATTTTATAGGCATTTCGCTCAGGTAAGTAATGTTTGTTACTAAAAATGGCCTAATACTAAAAATAAAATTTAAATAATAATATCTACTGTAGATGTATTATTTTTTAAATATTAAAAAGTACAAAATTTAAAGAGAATATATTTAACAAAGTTAACTATTATCTACATTTCTTAGAAAGGGAAAATTAAATGTTAAGTAGATAGATAAAACATTGTTTGCATCAACAACAACTTCAAAAGTCTAAGTAACTATTTCTGTAAAGTAGCAGACTTCTCACTGCATTGTTTGTTTGGCGGTCACTTTTGAATGTCGAAATTACATATTTTTTCTGATAATTACACTTTCGCAAAACAGGTAATTAAGAACGCATAATCCGGGTAAGTACGGCGACGGGACAAAAGCGCGGATGATCTGTACTGGTACGAATGGGCCCGGTGCGCACGGAGGGTTAACAACAAAAAAGATTTTAATAATGAAATCGGAAAGTCGGTAGCTCCTTGCTGTCTGAATCGAGTTGCCACAAAAAATGTTGAAAGTATTTTTTTTTATTTGTTTGAGCTTTTAGCAAAATGTGCTTTATGGTATGCTGTATTATCTCTGACTTCGAGGGCAGTTGTGATTATTATTCCATATTAAATAGTGATTGACAAATATATTTATTTACTGATGGGCATTACGTATAAATATTTGTTTTTTCGGATGTTTAGGTATATCTGGAATTATACTGCATTCAATTCAATATAAGTTTTAAATATAACATTTTTCAAATAAAATTTAATGGCCTAATTGAAAACGTTCTGTTAAAGATATTATTCATGCAAAGACAATTAAAAAATAACTAAAAAAAATAAGATAATAAACTTCTTATATGCGGCTACCAAAAAAAATCCATTAATATAATAACATTAATAGGTAATTCAATAAAAAAATGTGTTAATAAATATCTGAGCCTTTGTCCGTTGATTTGATATTTAATTCAAATCACCAAATCGACCTAATCTTTCTCAAATCAATAATTTTTCATATTAAAAAATGTTTTCATATAAAGTAATATTTAAAAATGGAATCATATGAATTTTTTTTGTTGTATTGTTATTATTTGTATTTGTAATATTTTTGTATATTATACACACTTCCTAAATTCTTCACTTCTCAACGTTAACCGATAACAGAGTATCAGTAGGAACACAAAATTAACTTTCAACGAGCGTGACAGGAAACACTAATAATAAAACTTTTACGAGTTGACAAGTAAGCGAAAATTACTTTACAAATATTATCGTGTTAGTTATCAATTCATTATTAATTTAACGCAATCGATTATTGAATAATATTTAATTGATTTAAGCCATAAATCAACTGCATTTGTTTGTATGTATACAGAATGGAATTGAAATCATACTTCTACCAGTACAACGAAATATTTTTAAATATAGATCTATAGGGGGGAAAGGTATTGTTAATAATGCGGACTATCAGTCCTATTGCTAGCAATATACCCTATCAGGTCGACCTCCACGTGGTTCCCCCCGGAAACTATCGTGCTGAATTCCAGGTGTAGGTATTCATCACGATAGACTAACTAACCTGACTTTTTTTTCATTCTCATCTATCATCCCTCACTGGTGCCCCGCCAGCGTATAACGTTTTTTTTTAGTATATGTACTGCCGAAGCAAGTACCAGCGTATACCGTTAGCGCAGGCGGGGTTATCTTTCCATTATCATCATCAAAAAAATATATATACATCTATAAACGAGAAAATGTAACAGGATTCAGGACGACATCTAATTTTTGACCTACAATGAAAACCGCATCCGCAATTTGGTGCAGTAGTCTTAGCGTGATCTCGAAATAAACATACAGAGATATAGTCAAAAATACAGAAAAATATTAATTTGGCTTCTATTCGTCTTATTAAGACATTTCGTGTAAATTTTTTTTTAATATATTCTTTCTTATAATAAGTTGTTGTGAAACCAAGCATTATTTTACTATCAAGTCAACTTGAAACCATTATGACATTATGACACGATGCCCGCATCTCAGATATTTGAGATCACCAAAGAATCAGACCAGACCCACCACAGTCTCTATGGGGAGGTCTGATGGAAAATTAATAAATCTTCTGCAAATATGTTATACCATATCCCCTACCTTAAAATTTTTATTATCGGGATAATAAATATTCTATTTTAAATATATACCATTTAAAATTATAAAAATGTTAATATATCGTTTTTTTTTTTGGTCTTTTATAGTAGGATTTATGATGAACAAAATTTTAAGCTCCATTTACGGGGCCAATTTCGGTATGAAGGAAAATATGAAATTGAGTCCGTTACTTCGTTTTTTGGTATTTGGTATTGGTATTTTATGGTAGACCTCCTAGGCATATTTGTTACTGTTTCACGCACAAATTACAGAACGAACATGAATGAAATTTTGTACACGAATAGAGCATATCCAAAGTTAAGACATAGTATATTTTTAACCAACTTCAAAAAAAGGAACAGATTCTCAATTCGGTTGTAGCTTTTTTATATTTATTACCTTATATCTTCGTCAATAATAAAACGAATTGATTTTTTTTTTCTGAAATGATATATTTCAGATTCATTGACGCAAACAAAGCCGTAGAGTACAGCTAATTGTTTATAAAATGTTAATCTTGCAGTATATATTAGAATTTTTAGGCAATGTAATTTTTTTTTTTTGGAATTTGAATAAGATTATGTTAAAAAAAATCAACTCCAATTGTGGCAAAAACAGTTATTTTGATTTAAAAATTAAACTACTAAACCGATTTTGATAAATTTTTTACGGGTTCAATCTGAAAGTTTGTCCTTTTATATAGAAAAAAAATAAATAAATCGGTTTATAACTGACAGATTTATTAAGTAACTAATAAAAATATACAATTGAATTGAAAAATTCTTCCGTTTTCAATTTAGTTGATGAGTGTAATTTGTTTAGTATTATAACTATATATAACGATTTTTTATTATTTATTAATATATACCCAATATTATAAAGAAATTATTTATTGAACTATTTAGTTACATTTAAGAACATTTAATTGTTCTCAATATGGTTATTTTATTATTTTAGCACATAATGGACTCAATTCTGAGTCGCCATTTTTCTAAACCTATCTCTAAAACTATAAAAAATATATATACTAAATTAGAAACTAAAATCATAAATTTAATTTATGATGGTCCATAAAATTATTGAATATTAACTAAAATATAATATGATGAAATTTAATCAAAATAATTAGATAATAATTCCTTAAAACATTAATTAAAGATAAAAAATTTCTTTAAGGTCACTTCTTACTGGTAGGTATACCTAATGAACTTAGATTATACAGATCGAGTCTCAAAAACGGATTTTCTATTTGTCAGCTAATTGTCAATTTAGCTGACTCGTTCTTTTTTTTATTTATGTTCTATATACTTAAGCACATAATGTATTTTGACATATCTAAATTTAGTTATTTAATAAATAAAATTACGAATTCTACCCATTAAAAAGATGCAAAATTATAAAAGAAAATAAATATTGAAATTATAAAGGAAACACTCATAACTATTTATCATGCAAAATTGTATGAAAAACTTGACCCACTTTTCTCGAAGCATTTGTATGGAGACACTCGTATCTATATAATCTAAGTCAATGAATTAATTATTAAGTTAAGAGATAGATTTATAGAAAATGCGTCTTAAAATCGACTCCATTGTAATTCAAATATTAACATATGTATTATTATGATGATAAAAAAAGGATATAAGTAGGTATAAATAAATATATATAAATGCTCACGAACACATGAAATGGTGTTTGTTTGTTACCTTACAACGCCTTAACCAAACACTATGAAATTTAGTATATAAATAAACTTATGTATTGTATATAAATAAAGTCAGTAAATGTACTCCGGTGACGCGGACGGAACCGCAAGTAAAAGCTCGTTAACAGGTAAACTATTTTAATTGATTATTAGTCATTTATTTTTAATATAATTAATACTTTATGTATAACACATTTTATAACTGTAATCTTCAATGACAATTAATGACGGTAAAGTTACAAACAACATATACCTAGTCAGACAGGCTTTTATTTATATTATTTATTTACTATTTGTTCCTTAGTTAACATAGATATATGGACTGTCATTATTACTTTAAAGGCTCCAGAGTTTATAGTCGAATGAATAAAATTACCATAATATATCCTCATTCTCACCGCAAATGTAAGCGTAAAATATTTAACTGGCTACTGGACCTTTCTTATGATGAAACTGAGAGATTGATAAATTAAATAATTTCTGA